ATTACAATATAGATTAGCCTAAGGACCTAACTAAGGTGCAACCTAACTCAACAAAGTACCTATGCACTTAAAACTTAACAATAACTTAGTATTTACATTACCTAAAGTATTTTAAGTTAAAATTATATCTATCACAGGTTCATAACTATAACTAGGTATAGTTAAAAATAGTTAATTAAATTGATTGAAAGTTATTCTAAATAGAATTAAACAAATAATTATTCCTTGATGTACCTAATAGAAGGAGTAGTAGGTATAAAATGCAATTCTGGCAACATTTTGTTAGTTATTAATACTTATTATTTAAATGTTTTAAAGTTGCACAATCACTGTGTATAGCTTATAGGTGGTAATTAAAAAAAAACTTATTTTTAACAGCGCTAAGTTAATATTAATCTTCATAATATTATTAACTATAACCTTAAGTGTTAAAAATATCTATATTGTGTATGAATAATAATTCAATAATAATAACAATTAGGTAACTAGTTCTAGACATTTTTTTCTTTAGTCTTGTTTTAAATACATTTATAACTTTTTATAAATTCAATCCACCAAACAAATTATAGCTAAAACGCCTAAAACAGACTTAACTTTTAGATGTAATTTTTAAAATATTAAATGTTGAGAGTTGTGTATTAACTAGTGGCGGACTGGACGACCGGGATACCTGGGCCGTGGACCGCTGCTCGTATAAAATATATATTTATTAATATTATTATTGTGAAATTATAAATTAAAATATTATCCAATAAGTAAAAGTATTTAAATATGTAATATTATTAAGGGGGCTGGAGCGTAATCCATTCTAAGGAGTAAAACTAGGCATTTTATATTTTACCCTACCTTTTAACCTAACCTTTCTGAATTAATTTTGCTATACATTATTTCAGTTCGTTCAAACTATGGCCGATCTTTTCCGATTAGTACCTTTCTCTGTGTTCATTCTCGTTCCATTCCTCGAGTTTACACTGCCTATTTTTTTAAAGTTTTTTCCGGGTATGTTACCAACTACATTTCAAACAAAGGATCAGAAGGTTGGTTAATTTTAAAAAAAAAATCATATTCTAAACTTTTACGAATTATTTTAGGAAGCAAAACTCAAACAGTCTCTCAAAGTGAAACTCGAAATGGCCAAATTTCTTCAAGAAACTTTAGACAGCATGTCTGTGTGTGGTAAAGGGCACACGAGTGAATTTGCTCAAGAATTTGCGGACTTTTTCGCAAAAGTATTTAAGTGATTTTATATTTTTTTAATTTGTATACATTTTTTCAACCTTGATTACATATTACTATATTAGGTAAGAAAAGAAGGTGTTGTTATACCAGCTGATGAAATGCTCAAGTTTTCAAAGCTGTTCAAAGACGAAATTACCCTTGACTCACTACCCCGACCACAATTGGTTGCCCTTTGCCGAGTGCTTGAACTAAAACCGATTGGGACTTCAAGTGTTTTGAAATATATGTTGACTCTTAAACTTCGATCATTAACAGTTGATGATAGGGTGAACAGCATTTTATTTCAAATTTTATTGTTTTATTTCAATATTTTTTTAAATATTTAGATTATTCAAAAAGAAGGCGTTGATTCTCTGACGTTGAGTGAGCTTCAAGAAGCCTGTAAGTCTCGCGGTATTGGTGCTTATGGTCTTAATGAAAACCGCCTGAAACAAGAGCTCACCCAGTGGCTAGACCTATCACTCAACGAAAGAGTTCCCCCCTTACTACTTCTCCTCTCTAGAGCATTTAGTCTAACACCTAATATTCCAACTAATGATTTATTAAAAAAAGGAATTTCTGCTTTGCCTAATTGTGTTGGTGCGTCCACTGAAGCTGATTTGTGTGAACGTGATGGTGCTATAGATAACAAGGCGAAATTTAAAGCAATCGAAGAAGAGGAACGTAAGGCAAAAGAAGAAATAGAAGAGTGTATGAGAGAAAGCCTTAAATGCAATGTAGTTGATAAGGCACCTGTTTTAACGGATTCAACTGGAAGTGAAGGGGTAAATCTAGATATATTGTTTTATTTTTTGATTGTTGATTGTTAATTCATATTTATAGGAAGTAACAACATCTATTTTAAAAATATTAGAATGTGCTCTAGAAAACATTAGTTCAGAACAAAAAAAACTTATTGTTGAAAAATCAGAAATCTGTGAATTAAAGGATGATATTAAATGTTACCAAAAAGTAAGTAAAATAGTAAATGTTGTAGATATCTACTTCCTAACTAAAGTAATAAATTATTATATTTGTTAAACTACATTAAATATTGTGATTGGCTTTAGAATAGCCATAATCTTCAAGAAGTAGAAAATGAGCAAGTTAGAGAATCGGAGCCAGCTAAACAATTATTTAAGGTACTTAATAAAAAAATTAATGAACTAGATCAGGCCGTCAATGAGTTGGAGAAAATAGAATTAGTCGGTGCAAATATTACTATTGACGGGTAAATACTAAAATATTTCATTTTAACCATATTATTTGTCATTTTCACAAATTATATGTGCTAATATTACTTTTAGTGAATTAATCAAGATTGATGAACTAATCGCAGTAGTACGAAGATTAAAAAACGTACCGGATGAATGCACAATACAAAAACTAATTAAAATTTTGTCTAAAATTGATAGTGATAATGATGGTTCAATAAGAATAGATACTTTGTTGAAGGTAAGCATCATAGCACTCTTTGCCTTGGTTCATAACTATTAAGTATTAGATATTATTAATTACATAAAATATGTATTATTTTAGATACTGCGTTTGATTAATAATGTAAATATGAATTTATCTGATAAAACAATGGATATAATAATAAAATTAGTTGTCAAAGAGAAAAATGATGGCAAAAGTGGCAATTCTTGCAGTAAATAATCACTATCATTGACGTTTGTGGTTTGTTTTCTATTTAACATTTTTCGCCGTACTGTTTACAATCGTCGTCCACCGATTGATCAGAATTAATATTTTATAAAACATCTCTTGTTGATCAATAATCATTGTTCATTTTGAATTAATTATTATTATAAAACTAAATAAATAAACAACTTATTTAACGAAATGTATAGCAAAAAAAAATACCAATTCAATATTATATTAATACTTTTTTTTTTTTTATTCTCACATACTTAATTGTTGTATTTTTCCCTTCAATTCATTAAATTCAATATTATAATATTGATATCAACACTGATAAAGAATAAAATTGTTCTGGAATGTATTTATTATTTATTAAAAACATTAATTTTCTAATTTAGATTTAGTATTTATAGACGTAACCTAACCTACAGGCTACAGATAGTGGTGTGTATATAGCATCTAGGTAGACTCATTTGTGGATTTTTTCAATATTATAAAAAATAACTAAAAAAATTTAACTATAAAATTTACGATTCTACACTTTAGGTAATCCGGGGTTGGACGTCCATGAAGTTGACCTCCTACTTTATCCTATCGAATCCGGACCAGTGCCAATATTTAGTAACTTTTTAGCAACTAATTGCAACCTACATAAAAAAATTTGAAACCTACTCCATAATGGTGAAACATTTTACTTTCTTGATTTTTAATCAAGTAAGTATGGTAATTCAAATGAAAAAAGTCTGAATTTTGAAAACTTCAAGAATTTGTGTTAAATAGGAAAATAATAAAAATGTAACTCAGTAATGACGAGTAAATGGATAGTTTAGCTAGCGTCAATATAAAATATTAATGAGAGAGATTTGATACCACTTCCAAGCGGTATAACCACTTGAATTCGTAAAAACGTCTGCGTGAACAGTCCCAAAATTTCTATTTTTTAACTTTTTTCCTTAACTATGTTGGTTGATAACTTATTAAAAAGTGATTATCAAGTAGATACTAAATGTGAAATTAAAATCTTTTAAAAAATATTACTTAATTTTTCACAGGTAAAAAAGTTATTTTACGCTAGATTTTCATTTAGCGAAGTATATTTCTGAAACTGGAGAATGGATTTTGTTGTTAGATTCACATTGGCTAGGAGAAGTGCAGTGAATATTTTCAGAACTTTATCTCCAATCGTTAATTCACTACAAACCTGTAAAGCTGAAAAACATCAAAAAACCCTCAATAAAATTTGTTTTAATTGTTTTAATGTTCTGTAGTGAATTAACTATTCAAGATAAAGTTCTGAAAATCTTCACTGCACTTCTCCCCTAACCAATGAGAATCTAACAAGACCCCAAACAAAGATATCCGCTTTCCAGTTTCGGAGATCTAATATCACTAAATGAAAATGAAAATGATTTTTTGTGTGAACCACCGACATTTTTCTGGATTCAAATTGTTATTGTGTGATATTAGTTAATAAATTTCTAAAAATTAAAAATCAATAATGTCTACATGCCGATCTCTGACTTGGCAAGAGTTTGTTTTTATAACTAATAATATTACTCATACAAATTATTAATATAACTAACCCTAAAATTTGATTAAAAATTAATACATATTTATTATTTATAATTAATACAAATTTAATTTTATGATTTTTAAAAATAATTTATACAATTATGTATGTTAATAATTGATAAAAAAAAAAACAATAACTAAACGTTATTTCATTGATAGTCATTTCTTATACGATATTTATTTAAATTTAGATGTTTTTTTTAAATATGTTTTATTCAACCAACATTTCCATTTGTTAGCCATTTTTATAATTTTTTTTAAAATATGAATTTTTTAAACTGTATTAATTATTCATTTTTTTTCTATTTAGATTCATTTCATTCAATCAAGTTTTTTTTTATTGAGTATAAAATTGTTATTAAATATAGATTTTTTTATGAATATAGATTTTTACTTAAATTTTATTTGTTTTTTTTTAGATATGTTTTATTCAATCCAGATATTTTATATTGAATTTAGATTTTTTTAATCAAATATAGATTTTATCTTAAGGCGCTCGGTGACGATGCCATTTTGTCCTCAAAAATAAACTCTGCGGGAATAACGATACATACCGCCTTGTAAAATCAACAAATTTCATAATTTTTTTTTCAATTGCTAGAGGGAAATATTTTACAGCCCTCATCGATCTCTGTTTTTCAATATTTTATTCTCAAACTTTATAATATGTCCAAAAAAATATTCAATAAATAATATCTGTATTGAATAAAACATATCTAAAAAAAAAAAATACAATTTAAGTAAAAATCTATATTACAAAAAAATCTTTATTTCAAAAAAAAAATCTATAAATGTTATACTGAATAAAAAAAACTTGTTTGAATGAAACAAATCTAAATATAAATTAAAATTATTAATTAATACAATTTAAAAAATTCATATTTAAAAAAAAATTAATAAAAATAAAATGGCTAAAAAATGATTAAAAATAAAAATGGCTGAAAAATGTAAATCATGATTGAATAAAACAAATCTAAATTTAAATAAAAAATCGCAATAAAATACCAATATTTTTATCAACTTCTTAGCAACTAATTTCAACCGAAATAAAAAAATTGTTCACCATGACGGGTAGGTTGCAAATTTTTTTATGTTGGTTGCAATATTAGTTGTTAAAAAGTTGCTAAATGTTGGCTCTGGTCCGGATTCCATTGGACAACAAGATGGGGGGGGGGCAACTTTACAGACGTCGGGGTTTGTACTAAATTATAAACGCTTAAACGTCAAAAATAGAGTGTGGCTGAAAAATATTTCCTTACCTACTAGGTTTACTTAGGTACGTTGGCGCTATCATAGGTACCTACCAGTTAATTATTTATTCTAATATTGTCTTTACTGTGTATTTTCGCTTAAAGAAATGTTAGTAGATATTGTTATTCTGTATTCGTGATCAAAATATACAGACAGTAGGTACCTATGATTTTCAGTTTTTTTTTCTTGTATTCTAATTGATTTACTAATTATTACTCAACTTACACCAGTGAGAACTTTTTGTTTCATTGCTTTTATGTAATTAGTATTACTCTCTTAAATATAAAAAAAAAAGAATGTTTACTTTTAATATTTATAGTAACTAGTTAGTCAGTCTTCTTGCAATTAATTTGTTCCTTCCGCAGTATTTTCAGTGAAGTGACAATATGACAAACGTTGCACATATTTTGGGGTACCTATTTAAAATTTTTTTTTTATTCTTATATTAATTCATGAGGAATAGGTATATTGCACAATATGCTATTTGTAAGACATAACTCATTTGATCATTAAAATAACGATATTGATGAGTTGAAAACTAGAAAATATATAACACATAGTAGGTGGGTCGTAGGTACAATTGGTATAGATACTGGCGTACTGCTCATAGTTATTACTTATTACTCATAACTCATAAGAATATAAATATGTTGACCAAATCTTACATTGATTTTCTCAATTCCTCATTACTATGTATAATTATTATTTATTGTCATAAATTCTATATTACGTTATGCATAAAAGAAAATACGTAGGTACTTAAATAATAAAAATAATAATAATATTACCAACCCTATTAAGTTTCTAATTATTAGATTATGTTACATGTACATTGTACGTTGATTATAATACAAATATTATATTATATTATAATAATAGTTCACGAAATCTGTTTTTCTCCATCCTTAAACCGACATTCTTAAAGTACTAACATTCTGAGGGTAATTAAGAACTTTTCATATTAAAAGTTTTAAGAAAAAAAATAGAACATAGGTAATACTATATTTAAAGTATATAGCTTTTTTTATTTAACTATAAGTCACTTAACTATAAGGCTAGCTGATAACAGAGAAGAGTGGAGAGCGCATATCCAACTGCAAAACCAAACTTAAGGGTTGAATACCAAAAGAAAAGTAAAAATCGTTTATATAAACTTCTATTTAATTATACTATTTTTAACACTTTTCTTAAGTTTGGTTACACGTCTGTCTGTGATCAAATCTTGCGCGCTCGATTTGAGGCACTTTTTGAAGATGAAAAATTCTGAAAATTTGTATAGACCTTGGTCTTGGATGACAATACAATAATCCGTAAAAAAATTTAAAAAAAAAAAAAAAAAAAAAAAAATTAAAAATTTTTTTTAACTAAAAAGTAGAAAATAAAAATTAAAAAATTATTTTTTAAAAACACACTTCTCTAAAAAAACAAAAAAATAATGAAAAATTTAAAAGTGTGTGGCGCTCTTAAACTTGACATATTATACCACACACTTTTAAATTTTTCATTATTTTTTTGTTTTTTTAGAGAAGTGTGTTTTTATTTTATTATACCTCTATTTTGTAATTATCATCAAAATATAAACCTAATAACATTTATTTAATGGTATATTTTTATTTTGTAAATATTCATTTTTTGGTTGGTGGTTTGTTCTACCATTTTACTATCCAATTTTTTCCTTATGTTTCACCGATCATCATTATTTTATTGTTTTCATTGGCATTTTAATTCCAGTTTGTTATTTAACGGATTTCTTTTCATTTATAACTAGAGGTTTGGCACATTCACTATCTCCTATTGATTTTAAATTTAATTTTAAATGTTTTAAATTATTTTAGGTTGACATGGCAATTATAAAATAACAAAGATTTTTTTCTCAACGAAAAATTACTTATTACTTATCAGTTTCAGTAGGACAAATTGCGAATTACAATATGTTCGTAATAGTTAAATACCAACCATGTTTGAAAAATGTCAGTAATTTGTTTATGTAAATATATATTAAATTTACATGATATACCTATACCTATACGTTATCGGTGAAGTGAGTGCATAATGCAGATTAATTTCAGTGTTTTTCAATAATAATTTGTTTATTATTATTTTAACGTATTTTGTTCGGCCTTGTTCACGTTGATAAAGTGGGGGCTTAGAAATCGAAAATAAAAATCAATAATTTTTTAAACAGTAGATAA